CCAGCTCACAGTCTAGGTGTAATGTCCTAACTGTAGTGCAGAGATCTGGAGTCTAACCAGAGCACAGAAGTCCCATTGAGCCGAGAAGGCAGAGGTCAGAGTTTGAAATATTTCAAATATTCATGCAGAGCACCAACGATGAAGGAATAGCATGGGGAGAGTAAAGACAGAAATATATGGAGATTCCCTGTGACTCCTTGGCCCAGGGCCATGTTAGCAGAAAGAGACTACTTGCAATTAACCAAAAGAGGCTGTTATGGCATCAGAGATACTACGAGTGGTCAACATTGGTGTTCACGTCCAACAAGAGAGGAAGAATCTCTTTAACACACCATTAATTTGCAAGGACAACAGAAAACTGTACCACGGCAGTAAAGACCATGTCCTAGAGTAAGTCTATTTTAGATAGGCTTTGAAAGAAGTCCTAAAAGCAAGTTGAGACAAAACCATAGGAGAAAAAGAATTTGGCAGTTGAGTTCTGCTTGTTAGAAGAGCTTGGAAAACATCTTGGGCTTTTAATAAACATTTTCTTAAAAATTTGTAAAACCTAGTCAACACTATTTCAAGGTGCTTAGCATGTAATTGATGTGTCTGCTAGAGAAAAAGTCAACAGTCTTCAAAGGACAATAACAGAATCTAGAGTCTCTACAATGATTTATTCACAAAACCCAGTTTCCAATAAAGTAAACATCATTAGACACACAGAACAGAAAAATGTGTCCCACAGTCAAAAGAAAAAAGGCAATTAGAAACTGACCCCTAGGTCACTTTATATTGTTATTATTGTTACTTAAGCTGGTTGTCCTTTAAGAAACCACTGTGAAAGGCTGCATGATAGCCTTCCAAAAATGACCCTCATCCTAATCCCCAGAACCTGTGAATGTGTTACATTACAGAGTAAAATGGACTTTGCAGATGTGATAAAATTACAGATTTTGAGAAAAGGAAATTATCCTGAATTATCTGGGTGAGCCCAATGTAATCGCAAGAATTACAATAAAAGGAAGGCAGGAGAATCAGCAACAGAAAGAAGTGATACGCAGTTAGAAGCACAGGTCAGAGAGATTTGAAGATGTTATGCTGTTGACTTTGAAGAGGAAAGAGCGGCCATGAGCCAAGGGTTGCAGGTGGATTATAGAAGCTGGAAAATGCAAGGGAAAGGCTTCTTCTCTAAAGTCCCCAGTAGGCAGGACTGCCAACTCCTTGACGTTGGCCCAGTGAAACTGGTTTCAGACTTCTGACCTCTGAAAGACAGTAAGTTTGTGCTGTAAGCCACTGAGTTTGTGGTAACTCTTACAGCGTCCAGAGGAAAGTAATACAAGCCAGATGCTGGATCTAATAGATACAGTTGTTAATGAAGCTATTGAAATATGTCTAAAGAGTTTAAAAATGATTTATTTGGTGACTAAGAGAGCAGTGAGACTTCAGAGAGAAGTGGAGATAAATAGAAATCTTACAGCTGAAAACTAAAATAACTGGGGAAAAAAAAACTGTCAGGAAAGCCTCTTTGATTCTACCACATGCAGTTTCTGTCCTTCAATCAACAATTAACAGATAAGCAAGGGAACAGGACCATGTGACCAATAAACATGAAGACAATGGTGGTCAACGGAAGCAGACCCAAAGGTAATCCAGACACCGAAGTGGGGAGGTAAGGACTTTAAAATAGCTATGACTATTCAGGGCTAGAAAACATGGGAAACGGTGGACAAAATAAATTAAAAGACAATGAAATTCACTGAGATGGTAGAATTAATAAAGAGAACCAACATACTTCTACAAATGAAAAAATGTAGTATCTGACATTAGGAATCTGATGGGTTGCTTTCATAGCAAATTGCATACAGTCAAGGCAGGAACCATAGAAAATATTCAGATAGAAGCACAGAAAAGAAAAGAAAATTGAAAAAAGAAAAAAAGATCAGTGCATATTATGATTTAATTTCTTCCTGGGAACTCAATTAACAGAAGGGACTCTCACCCTTCAAGCATTTTTATGCTGCTGTCCCTGTATCATTTGGTAGCATCTGGGCTAACTGTATAATATCACGTAGATTATGTTGAATGGTGTTGCTGGGCTGAATTTAAGAATAAGGTTAGAACAGGGAATGGTGTTTGGCCTCAAGTGTTACATGGCCTTCTAGTTATTAATGTCGTGTTCTACCCCTTCTCCGAACTTCTGGGGGAAAAACAAAATGGCCTGCACTGGTCTGAGAGGACACACAAAGGCACTGAGGTGGGTTTGGAGGAGCAGCATGGCGGCAGGAAGGCGGGGCCCTCTGACGGACGACTGCCTTCCCCAACGGGGCAGCTCTTACCCGGTGGAATTAAAGAACAAAAATTTGGTTCATATTGAAAGGAAATTCTGTTAAAATTTGTCAGTACTTACACTCTCACGGAGGAAATACTGGAGAGGCAGCTTCTGTATCTTTTTTTCCCATGTCTTCTATTTTCCTATTTCTTCCAAATCGCTTTTTTCTATATCTTCTTGTTTTGGGGGAAGACACAAGAAATGTAAAGAAACAAAAAAATATGAATTACATTACATTTCCAAAGTCTCTTATAATTATCCAAATAAAATTTGATTTATCTGTCTTATTCCACAACTAGTCTTTCAAATATGTCTTTAACACATTGTATCCTTTAATTCCTCATTAAAATGGATGTAAGTAGATGTTTCAAAGTAATCATAAAGAAAAGGTGGAGGAGTAGCTAAATCTGATCAGTGGGAGCTCTGTACAGAGTGGAAGGGGTAAAGATCTTCCACTTGTCAACTATCTCTTAGAGAAGCCATGACTAGTGAAAAAAGAAGACTGTTAGAATTTTTTAAGTGGTGATTGTGAAAGGCTAGTGGGGCATGACAACAATGAGCAATGCCTGGTAAGCTACGAAGATAAAGGAGGTTGGAAAGTTTTATAACAGAAGGATCAGGATGATATGCTCTGAAACCCTGCTCAGTCACTCAGCAGAAGGTAGTCAGATACTGTGCACCTCCTTGGGTGGATTAGTGCATCTGAAAAAGAAAGGGAAGGAGGAAGGAGAGAAGGAGGGAGGAAGAGAGGGAGAACTCTGTACCTAATCTCACCTCTGGCTCTACCTTCCACTTTACAGCAAATACGAAACATGAAGGACCATGATAAACAATGAAATGGAATTCTAACAGCCAAACACACACTGTGGAAAATTTCACAGGACAAACAGCTCGATTTCTTCAGTAAATAAATGGCAATAAATAGAGGGGAGGCTCTAACAGATTTAAAAGAAATTTAACAGAGATATCAGCCAAAGGTAATACATAGACCTTGTTTGGCTCCTGATTTGAAAACAAATGACAAAACAAACAAAAAACAACTGCAAAAAGACACTTTGGAGGCAACCAGGGGAAAGGAAATATGGGTTAGATAGTAGACAATATGAAGGAACTACTTTTTAAAATTTTGTTTTGGTTTCATATATTTTGAAAGAGATCAATGTGGAAGTATTTATACATGAAACTACTATGCTTTTTAGGATTTGCTTTTGAATATTCTAGCAAAAAAACTGTGGGAAGGGATAGATGAAACAAGAATGGTAGGATGTTGATTATTGGTGAAATTAAGGCGTGGATATGTGAGATCACTTGCTAATTTCCTTAATTTGGTGAGTATTTGAAAATTTCCATAATATAAAGTTAAAAATGAACTGGAGGGGTTAATGTGTCCAAAGTTCCAGGCAGGGTTGTCAGGACTCCCTGCCCGCAGGTGTGTCCAACCTGATTCACATCCAGTCCTGAGACTGCGAACAGACCAAGGCTGGCAGGCAGTCCCAGCTCTACTCTTCTGTTCTGATACTTCCTCTGCCTACAACTAGGCGAACGGGGCAAAGGGCATTCGGGTCCCATTCTACTCACAGAAGTATCACCAATCTCTTTTTTGGCCACAGTTCCAAACTGCATCCTCCAACACAATTAGCCCAGAACTCTTGACTCTGGTAAAGAAAGCTGACCCTTTGAATCCAGTTTAGCTTGGATCTTTGTGATTATATTCTATCAGAACCCTGGAGGGCAGTCATCTGCACCTGACCCAAAACTGCAGGGAACAGGTCAGATAAGAACATGAGCCAACTGCTGACTCAAAGGAAAGTATTCCGAGGATAAAGGAAAATTATGCAGTTCCCAAGCTAAGGTCAACCATCTACAGTGATAGAAATGCTAAAAATTTGAGAAAGTGGAATTGAGTGTTGGAGCGATTCCCTAAGAGAGCAGAACAAGGGGGAAGAATTAGCATCAGAAAGAGAGATGATTGGTTGTTCTGTACATTCGTGAGAAGAAGGAAGAGGTAAAAGAAGCTACAGAGACAAGTTGAGATTGAGATGAAGGAGACTGAGCTGGCTTTTCTCTGGTGGGTGAAATCTTTGGAATAAGAAATAGAGAGAGAGAGAGAAAGGAAAGGGATTTTTGTGCCCAGGGCTAGAATAACAACAAGGGTACAAAGGCTAACCTGGCCACACTTGGGCGATGGCCCAGGAGGTGGGCTGGGCATTAGGGAGGGGAGAGAGGACAACCACCCAGCTTCCAGGCTGCAAGTGGACCAGTGAATGTAATTCCACATGACGCAGCTGCACCGATGGGCAAGTCCGGTCCTCTAGTGAAATAGCTCATTCCATATGCCACAGAGAGACCCAGGAGAAGACGGCTCAGAAGGCAGTGGGTGGAGAAAAGTTCACGTGCAGGGCCACTGCCTTTCCCCTTTCTCCCCCACGTGCCTGGACTTCCCCGAGGAGCAGCCTCCCTTAGGTCTGAGTCACATGGAAAGGCCTAGAAGAGCCTGAAAATCGCGAAGCGTTCCTTTGGTGCCCCTTTCTTTGTTTAAATCACCTATTCCAGCCTTATTCCATAACTGATTCTTAAAATTATTTTTGCTCTGTAAACATGAAGAATGTAAGCTGCATATAAACATAATAATGGCAAAGCTACATTTTCGTGGAGAACGATTACCAGCCCCTTCAGTGACTTTAAATTAGTTTATTAACTGTATCAACACATTTACCACGGTTTTGAATATCCAGACTAGGAATTTTCTCAAATATTTACATTTACTGATAATTAAATACACAGTTCAAAAACTGCTTTAGCTGTTACAATAGAGAACGTATTTCCAAGAGAGGCACAAAAGAGAAGGTATCGAAAGAGAATCAGTGCTTCCTGGAATATTTTCTCACAGAAATCAAAACAATGTTAGATTTTATTTAATATCCAATCTACACATTATATTTAAAAGTACTTCTGTTCCCCCAAAAAGTGCTCTCTCCTTCCCTAGGACATGTTGATAATTACTAGTACAACTTGACAATTTTTATAAATCCAATAACAATTTTTAAAACAATTTACAACAATAAAGACATAATACTCCAAATATCTTGCAGGTATTAATTTTGGCTATTTGTGTGGACATGTTTGAATTGTCTCAAGTGTATCATACTGGCTTGCTTTAATCAACAAAACTGACTAAAGCCTAGTGAAAAACACAGTTTAATAATCTCAAAGCAAAGTCAGAAAAAATTTTGAAGATATAAAAATTTTTAAAATTCGAATATTGAAAAATATACAAATAATGCCTTGAGTACTTTAGGGGCTCAATCTCTGGAACAGACCTGAGAATAAAGAAGCAAGAAACTATGAATAAAAAGATTGGCTGTCTCTTATCTTGGCATTAACTTACTGAGAGATCTAGACAAGCTGGTGAACTTCAATCTAAATATCTACATACATATAATTTTATAAATTATACATTATATATATATATATATATATATATAAAAGTTGGTGAGACTAGGTGCTCTCCCAGGTGGCCCTGAGTTCCAGTAGTTCCAATTCTACATCTGATTACTTCACTGAAAAGCATGTATCCATTCTTATATTCACCCAAGGGAGGACCTCAATAAACAGACTGGAAAGAGCCCCCAGCAGCCCTGCCCTGGCTTTGGCACAATATTTAGCAAGAGTTCCACTGAGGGAGATAGTCTGGACTTCTTAGAAGTTATAGGAAAGGTACCAGCATTTCTTTCTGGCTGAGAACATGGAGTATTTTAAGGCTTGTTTGAGTGGCTGACTTTCTTTCCTTGCTCTAGGTCCGCACTTGCTTTGCACCTCACCATGGAGCTGACGGCCTGCTGAAAGTTGTTGCTGACCACCACATACAGCAACAGGTTACCAAAGGTGTTCAGGGCAGCTAACGGTTTAGAAACGATGTACGCCCCATGGATCTGATTCTCAACGGAGCAGCTGATTGAAAGCAGGCGAGATTCAATCCGAATGAGCCTCAAGATATGGAAAGGTAGAAAGCATATATAAAACACAAGGAGCAGCAGAATGGTGAGCCTTCGAGCTTTCTGCTTCAGGCAGCTGTGAGTCCGAGGTCCTTGGGTCAGAGTGTAGATAATCATTGTATAGCAAAGTGTAACGATCACCAAGGGGAGGCAGAAAGTGGTCGCGGTCAAAATTAGATTGTACCATTTGATAGTTGTGAGGTCATCCGAACTGGTGAGGTCAAGGCAGGAGGATCTGTTGGTCCTGGTGGTTGACGTGATCAGGAAGGATATGGGAATGACGGCCACCAGAGAAATGATCCACACGACCGCACAGGCCACCACCGCCCATCGAGTTTTGTGAATGGAGAAGCAGCTCATCGGGTGAATGACGACAAAGTAGCGGAAGATGCTGAAACAGGTGAGGAAGAGGATGCTGCTGTACAGGTTGAAATGGAAGCCGAAGCGGATAAACTTGCACATGAAATCGCCAAAGATCCAGTTTTCGCCACTAGCGTAGTAGTGAATGAGGAAAGGGAGGCTGGTGAGGTACAGAAGGTCTGTGCAGGCCAGGTTCAGCATGATGATGGTGCTGCTTCTCCAGGGCCGCATTTTGAAGATGTACGTGGAAATAGCTACTGCATTGCCGGGAAAGCCCACCAGGAAGACGATGCTATAAATAACAGGGAGGTAGTGCCTCTTGAGTGCGATTTTTTCATCAGTGCAATTTCCAAGAGCATCTGCATAATCGGGGAACTCAGAAGCATTTGCAAAATCGTCTAGTGGCTCATTCATGGCTGTCTCCTTTCATCTTGCAAGAAAACAAGAGAGTTCAGTTTGGCAATACCGATCGAGAGAAAGTAACTCGCCGATAAAGGAAAATAGAAAACATTAATGATGGGGTAATGAAAACAATGATCTCCTTTGAAAGGAAATCGCTCTAACATCCTAAATTTGCCACTTCTTTCTCTTTAATCTCCAAAGAGACCCTGTAAAGGAGAAGTTGAATTTCTAAGAAAATGACTGTAAGGCAAGTTATGAAAGACATGTAACAATAAGATAAAAGCGAAATTACCATGAGAATTAAAATGAAGGACTGGGGTGGGGGGAAGACCCCCACGTGTAGCTGTGGGTCACGATTTGGCACGGTTGCTGTTTGGGCACGTCACCACTGTGGTACCTCTAAACCCGACAAAACGCTGAGAGGTATTTCTCATTATCTCTGTTTTACAGAAGAGACTAAAGCTGTCACTTGTCCCTGCTAACACACCTAGTGGCACAGCCAGGATTTGAACCTGTGTTTTCCTGACTTAGAATCCATTCTCTTTTTAACCTGCCTCACTCGGCTGCCTCTCAGTCTGGATGAGTCTAAATGATGGATGGAATAGGAAGTGGGAAGGCACAGAAAGATTTAATGCCAGACATTTTTAAAATATAGAGTTCATGCATTCCAACATTATAGGTCTGGTAGGTTTCATTTTTAAATTTCAGCTCTTGCAACCCATTTTAACTGCTAACGTAATTTGTTCATGCTGCAGGGGTTGTGTTTGCAGGGGGAGGAGGAGCAGCAGCTCCCTGCAGTGTTGAGAGCTAGGGTGCAATCGCCAGACAGCCTGACCTTGATTCTGTTTAGCCAATGAGTAGCTGTATGTCCCTAAGCAAGTTGCTTGCACTTTTCTAGAGCTGGGAGGAGTGGGGTTTTAACTTTCTTCTTCTTGCTTATCAGTGTTGTCTAAAATTTTGACTGTGAATTTTTTGCATGAAGATCATAAAAGCAGAATTACTTACAATTAGCTTATTATTCAGATGTAAATAGCTGTTGGTAAAATGCATCCACTTGCATATTTATGGAGTGCCCACTGTGTGTTCATTAGGCACTCTGCCAGGTCCTAGAGATACAAAATGAATAGCACGCACAGATGTACAAGCCACTATCACAGTCTACTCGGGGAGACGGACATAGAAATTATTTTCACAAATACAAGCCTACTTCATGGAACTGTCAATGTATCCAAACAAAGAAACAAACAAACAAAAAAGACAAGAAAAACACTTGGAACACTACTGGCACATAATACATGCTCAATAAATGTTAGGTAGTTAATCACTAAGTCCTTTGATGGATACATAGTACAAGGCTCCTGATATTCCAAAGAAGGGAGGGAACAGCTACTTGGAGAACAAGAGAGGGCACTGAAGGAACATCATCTAGGAGGGAACATTTAAGCTGAAACTAATAAGAGGAGCGGAAAGGCATTCCAGGCAAAGGGAACAGAATGCACAAAGGCACTGAGATCTGATGGATTTCAAGAGGGCAGTGTTAGGATCCTCACATGAGAGGCCAGTGCACCCTGGGACCATGTATTACTGATCAAAAGCAAATGTTTCTCTCCTCGTCCAGGTAATTTACTCTCACTGGCAAAGCTATTCATAGAACTACCACTGACACAGCATGAGAGATGAGAGGATTCAGGCACTACTGACTAGCCAGGGTGCTGTGAGGCCAGGAAACCACAGTGGACAGCTTTTCCCATGGCCAATACCATAGTGGGCTCATGCCTGGGTAGAAGGCAGTCACTTAAACCTAAAAGAAAAAGATCAAGGTCAGGGAATCGCTGAAGAAGCACTTCCTGAAGTCTGTTCTTAGCAAGTCAACATTCAAGATCACATCGCCTATCTGTCAGATCCTTGAAAGCAGAAACATGAAGTCACCTTGGACCCCAGGGGCTGACACACACAGGGTCTCAATAAATATTTGTTGAGTAAGAGAATCATGAGTAACATCAGCAAAATTGATTAAGAGCCAGTGAAGCAGCAACCGTTATTAAAAAAAAAGTTTGGTTCTTTAATGACTTTTACAGTAAGGAGCAAAATTAATTTCTGTCATTGCAAATAAACCCCTGCCATGTTATAAGGCCATTTTAAACACCAGTCATATCAGGGAAAGGCAGGCTGTAGGTAGAAACAACCACCTTATTGTTTTGAAAAACAACAGGGTGACTTGGGATTTACTGAAGAGTGACGGACCAGCTGTAAGGCAGGAGGGGTTAACTACGAAACAGACCCCTCTCCCCAAACCTCACTGAAAGAAAGGTTTGAGTTTACAAAACACGTGTGAAGCTAAGAATGGGAGACAAAAACTGGTCAGCGCTGTGAGCCACGCAGAATGAGGCAGTCTGTTTCCTCGACAGTCCCAGAGCCCCATGCAACCAATTCCCGCTCCACTTTGTGGAGCCCAGATGTCCACAAAGGGACCATTTACACAAAGGACATTGCGGACTAATGGGGTGTATTCCCCACTCTTTGCTACAACAGTGGATCTCAATCGTAGGGCAGTTAGAGACCCCCCAGGACTACCGGACTCCTTATGAACTAGGAATGATGATCTGTCAAGCTTCAACATAGAGATAGGTTTGAACTAAGCTAGATGCCACATGAGTAAGAGCAAGCACCAAAGATTGGGGAATATTTTTATAGGGAAAAAACTTGTAACTTTAGCCTCTACTTTTCCTCTCTGAAATTGGGAAGAGGTTGTGATTGTAGCTGCAGGATGTCAGGGTTTGGGGAACGCAAAGCTCAGGGACTGCTACTTTGAGGCCATTCTGCTCAGGAACCTCATGGACTGGGTTTCCAAACGTCTGTGGATAAAGAAAGCAGGACCACACATGGTATCTACTCGAGGGGCAGCATATACTACTTTGCATCCATAGTGGATTCTTGCCCACTTGGTGGGAACAAGTCAAGTGGGAGGAATGATGTGAAGTTATTTTTCTAGAAAAATCTGATAATTTTGTAGTAAACTCCTAATCCAACAATCCCCCCCACCCCCATCCCCAGCTCCACTGCAGCTCCTCCCACACGCACCCTGGGTTTTTCTGGTGCTGCTCCAAGGCCAAGTTAACATTCATCCTCTCCTCCTTTTCCCAAGTTGCCATTGGACCAGGGAGGTATAAACTAGGAAGACTGCTCCTCTCACCACCCCTCAGAGTCCTTAGAAACTCTGCAGCTGGGGTTCCATGCCGTTACCAAAAAGAGGCTCCGATAGACCTTTCATTCACAATGATTCATCTTGGGTTCCTCATCCACATACTTGTACACTAAGCTGATTTTGCACAGTGGAAAGCAGACCAAATCTTAACCCAGACAGGTTTGTGATGAGGGTGAGTGTTCCCCTCCCTGAACCCTGAAGGAATCCCTCTCCCCAACTCTTCCTTCAAACCCAAATTTCAAATAAGAATCTGCAACTCAGGTGCCCTGACGACTGTTAGGACACGACATGTTGATGGGGTCCAAAGCTATGATTTTAGCTATTGGCTCTTTGATGTTCTCCAACTGAATAAAATCTATGGAAATGCACATATGGACACACAAGAATTTTATGTACAATTTGGAGGCTTAGAGACAATCCTGAACTAGTTGACTTCGTCTATAGCAAGGAAACAAAACAAAACAAGACAAAATAAAGGCATTTCAGGGGGAAAGGTTTTGTCGGTTTGCTTGCTGAGGGGGTTGTGGGGCAGTGTCTTTGGACATTGCTAACATTATAAAGCTCAGAATCACACAGTGTGAGCAAAAAGCACATCCCGAGGGTGGAATCAATCCGTGTCAGAGATAAATCAATCCGTGTAAGTCTTTGGGACTGTCCCCAAAGTCCCCCCAAAAACCTCAGGCTTGATCGTGAAAAAGTTATGAAATCAAGTCAACAGTCTGGAACTTCTCCAGGCTCACTGAGACAAATCTACGGTCATTCTGGGCTTTTAGTTTCCCCAAATGCGCCCTCGCCCCCTACCAGAATGCAGGGTGTTGCTGCTCCCCACGAGAGAAGAAGTGGGGAGGCCCTGGCTGTGGCCTCCGCGGGGTCCTGCTGCAAAGACATGCCGGGGGCTCAGTTCCCCCAGGCTCGGGGCGCCCTGCGTGCGCACTCCCTGATCAGCGCAGGCCCCCCGCACCTGGCTCCCTCCGCCGGCGGGGCCCGGTCCCCCAGCCTGGTGGCTCACCTGGCCACCCCAGGCCGCGGCCGCCGTGCGCCCTGAGCGGCCGTCGGAG